CTTCCTTGAGGGACTCCACCTCGGCGTCATCGTCCTCTAGCTGCTCCTCAAGGAGAGGGGCCATGCCTGCCAGAGCCTATTTGGAACAGAGGATGAGTTACATATAAATTTTACAACACTTGTTTACTGAATAAGGGTTGAGGGTGGGGAACACGTACCAATCTGAGGTGGTAAGTGATAGCGCCAGTTCGGTCCACCTTGGTGGGCCATCTCGTGGTCTCGCCTCGCAGGAAGATGTCAACAAGGTAGGAGCTGGTCACTGAGGCGTTGTTGTTCTCGGCGACCTTGTTCAGCCGTTTCAGGGGTGCTTCGGGACCCTTCGTAGATCTAAGTCTCTTGCGTTTGGCCGAGAAGGTTTTCCCCGGGCGGTCGCGGGGGTAGGTGCGTGGAGGAGAGCGCAAAGGAGCATTGCTCTCGGGAGGATCGACCACTGGTGTGGTTAGCCCCTTGGGGAGAGTCGACACCTTTTCTGAGGGCCCGGTGGGAGCTGTGGTCACGGTCGTGGGGGGTGCGGCCACGGTCTTGAGGAGCTCCTTTGCAAAACAAAAGAGATACATGTATAAGTAAATAAGTTATATGAACATGATTAATGTGAAAGAGAGGATAAGAGATATGACGACAACTCAGGGTGCCCAGCCCTACCTATGTCATCTACGTGGTCGGCGGCACGTCTGGACATGTGGAAATGTCGAAAGAGCTGATCATTAGTGGTCAGCTTCATCATAAGAAGTGGGCGCTCATTCCACTGGTCGATGATGGTCTCGTATACGGTCTTGCGTTTCAGGTTCTTGCACTGATTCGGGGCTAAGGGAGGAAAGTCGAAGGAATCGGGAGAGGGACACACAAAGAAGAATTTATTTCTCCAGTTGTGCATCTTCGATTGGGGTTGGTCAATGAAGCGGGTACGGTTGCGGCGCATGAGGTAGGGGGCGTTGTTCAGGTTTCTAAGACAAATACAATAAAAACACAACTGGAGTCGAGATCGTCGAGGCGGGCTCGACACACCATGATGAAGCTAATAAGAAGACGGATTGAGTTGGGAGGAAGTTGGTTCAGTTGTATCCCATACATTCGGCTTAGCTCGAGTAGGTCGGGATGTAGGGGGAATCTCATCCCCGCGCTCACTTGGTCTAGGTAAAAGTTGTGGTAACCAGGTGGGGGGCTATCAAACGAGTCCTCGGGTTTAGGGATTCTAAGTTTTCAACCTTTCGGCAATTCAATTTTTTTTGGTAAGAAGGGCTACTTGGGTATCCGTATATGAAGAGACGGGGTTGGTAGGCATGGCTTGGGTGTGGACGGCGCTCTCTTTTGTGTTGGTAATAGGAGGGGTCGTCGGGCCCGAGAGAGGTAAGGCATTGGGGAGTGACTCCTTGGGTGAAGAATGTGATGATGAACTTGTGGTGGAACTAGTGTCGCTAGTAGTGGAGGAGCTAATGGTATGGCTCGCAGAGGAAGAGCTATTGTGGATTAGAGAGGTAGGTTGCTCTAAAAGGGGTGCGAAGGTGAGGTAACGGTAAAATGCGAGGAGTATGACAAAGAAATAAAACGAAATACCCATACGATGAGAAGATGCACCACACATAATTCTAACAATGTAAAATAGATAGAGGAAGATGGCGTACCCATAAAGCTTGCCGATGCGGCCATGGTGTGCAATTTGGTGAGTGCTCGTCGGAAAGGAGCGTGGTCGTCGGGATTCGCGGCGGTGTGCTCGGCTCGGTCGGCGGGGCTAGAGTGCGTGCTCGGCAAAAGAGAGAGGTCGTCGGGTCCGGGCGGTGCTAGGAGAGGTCGTCGGGACGGCTTGGGCATGGGCTCGTCGGGATGTGCGCTCGTCGATTTTATGAGCTCGTCAAAGGACGGCCACCGAAATTCAACTAAGGGTTGCGTGCTCTCTTTTTTAGAGAGAGAAATTATGTAAGAGAGACATTTTGAAAGAGAAGAGAGGGGATGAAT